ATTTCACGCACCAACGCATGAAAGCTGTATTCGAAACCTTGAAAGGTGAAAATCTTCCTGTGATTCCCAAGTTAACAGTTTAACCGCCAAAATTCTTACGAGGCCGTAGGTGATACTCAACAGCAAGGGAACGCTGAATTTGAACAGGCAAGGTTGAGCGTGGACAGGGGGGTCATTACCCCAAAATTTCGGCCTTCTAGACTCCGTGGTTCCCGAGATATTAATTTACTCGTAAAAAACTTTCCCGGGGCCGTACGCGTTACCCGCGGGTAAGGGAAGGCTGAATTTAAATTTGCTGCGTCACTCGTTGGCGGGGAACACTATGCTAAAATTTCAGCCGCCTAGCTTTTGTGGTTCCCGAGTTGAAAGTGCGGGACAAAATGTGGGACACAAACACACACACGCACAGACAACCCCGTGACAATATGCGTTTTGTAACGCTGTTACACAGCACAGAACGCATAAAAATGAGGGTGGTGGTGGTGGGGGGATGGGATGCAGGCTGACTTACGCATTGCAGCCGGTATATGTTTGAGTGGTTTGCCGCACTCGGTACAATGATGACTGCTGCTGCTGCTGTTGGGCGGGGTGGCCGATGAGGTGCGCCAGATGTTCCAGCGTGTCGACGACAGTCGTTTGCCGGTGAGCGCGCTCGTTGTGAGATATGAGATGCGTTGTCGACTAACGAAGCTTCCGCTACCACTGTTGCTGTTGCTGTTGTTGTTGTTGTTTTTGCCATTTTCAGTTCCATCACCGTTGCCGGAGCCATTACCGCTGGATGCCGTTCCACCGGTACCCGCACCCAAATAGCGTACCGCTAGCACCGGCTGGTACTGGCGTCGTACGACGATGAGCGCCGGCGATGCGCATACCATCCTGGAACACCGAATCATGCATTTACACAACACAGAGAGAGAGAAGCGGCTCGAATTCCCAATAAAAACCCGCTGCTGAACAAATCAGCACGAACCGTTGCATACCATTCCCAGTGAGAGCGATCTCGAAACAAATTACTGCAAGAATACACACACACACACACACGCACACACACAACCTCTTACACTGTGTTGCTGCTAATGCAACTGCTACTGCCACTGCTACTGCTACTACTGCTGCTGCTATTTGCTGCTGCTGCTACTGCTGCTGCTACTGCTGCTGCTAATGCTACTGCTGCTGCTGCAGAACTGATGCAGAGATGGAAAAAAAAAAACAAGTGGGAAATTTTTCGCAATATAAAACATCATGCGACTTGTCTTCGGTGTGTTTGTGTATGTATGTGTTTGCGTGGATGTGTGTGTGTGTGCGTGTGTGTGTGTG